CAGGATCTCATTCTTGAAAAATAATATAATAGGACTGACATAACTAATTTGTCCTATAAACATTCGAAAAGACATGCAATCAATGTGAAGACATTAGAAATGAAAATAATGATTTTAATATTCTTACACATATTAAATTCATTTAACAGGCAAGATTTTGCAGTTGACCTCAATTTGGCAAACTTGGAAATCATTCTTTGATACATTACCACTGCACTTACCTGGGCTTTTATGTAAGGCCAACACTCGTGATAAGTGCCGTGCACAACTACAGGTGCCTCTGAATGGTCTGTTATGGGGTTCAGCTCCAAATCATCCACCTAAAAAGCAACATTAAAATGTGGAATTTAATGGTATCAGTTCAGAGTCTTGCAAAATAAAGTGTCAGGTGCCTCAGGGCTCCATACTAGGCCCCCCTGCTGTTTCTTCCCTATATAATTGATCTGTGCTATGTGTCAAAGGTCGTGGACTTTACTCTTTTTGCTGACTGACACAAACATTTTTTGCCCCACAAAGATTTTAATTTACTTCTTAAAATCTTAAATTCTGAAATGAACACAATGGTGTCTAGCTAATAAACTGTCCATTAACTTTAAAACATTGAATTTTACGGTTTTTAGGCCACACCAATTAATGGAGGCAAACACTTGATATACAAGTATCTATTCAAACTGCAACAATATTAATACTACTGAATGTGTGAAAGAAACAGTATTTTTGTTCTTGATGCATCCATCCATGATAAATGCACTTTGTACTATAGTCTAGTTTACCCCTAAGTAATATAATTATTACATTTCAGTGTGGGGATCCACATATCATAAATTATTTTCGTGATATTGTTTACTCTTGCAAGCCAGATACATAAATATTTGCATAATACAAGAAATTCCAGCCTTTTTTAGATAGCTCAAAGAAATCCTTAGGGCTTCCAATGAAAGCTAAAAAATCCCTGGACCAGGCATTAACCCTTTAAGTCCCAATAGTGACCAACATCAATTTTCTCATAATGATAGACATAGATTGTCAAGAGATTGGGTTATGAGAATTAATAAAATGATCACCTAAGAGAAAATGCTTTAATCTTTTATCAAATTCTCTCAACTCATTCTTTAAGGAAATGTATAGAGATCAGTTTGGAGAATTTGTATGTGGATATTGGGACTTAAAGGCTTAACCCCAAATTCTCATAACACCTGGATACTCTGTTAACTGAAATGCACGCTCATGGTACTGCACCAATTATTAATGCACATTGTTTCGAATACTGAATGGAAGCCCAAGATGTTTAACTCAAGACACCCCAAAGTCAAAAATTGCCAAATTTCCCTACCCAAAAGAATCTCGAAATGAAAAATTTCAAACCCAATAAAAGCCTACCATGCATGATCCCCATCACCTTAACTCTGGAGTATACCCCCTTGGGTGGGGGATATGCATCCTGATTAATTGGAGTTGAAGGGTTAATTAAGAAAGTGAGATCACCCACCTTGATAGTATGCCCTTGATTAGCTCTAATTTGCAGTCTGTTTGTTGCTGGGTCATCTCTCAGAGTGAAGCGTTTCTTGTCATTATCAGCCACAACTCTTCTGATGTCATCCACGGAATATCGCTGGAACTGTCTCAGTTTCAAAAGACCATCAACAAAGACAAAACCTTCCACGTAAAAAATTTGTTCATTTTCAGTACTGTTGACTCAGCCTCTCATAATTAAACTATTAAATCATTAAAGCCACATTAAGAAAACTTAAGAAACATTACCTTCTGACATTGGAAGACCCTCCTTAGCTGCACCATGTCGCAAAATATAGGAAAGAGCTTTAGAAAGATGAACATCCTGACTTGTTCCCTGAAATAAATAGTATTTAAATAATGGTAATTCTACTTCACCTCTTCTCATGATTTTCCAAGAGACAATAACAATTAAGCCAATTTAACCAAAAGTAGACTGTTAAAAATAATGGATATCACAATTCTGTCTTAAATTATTTCTGATTGACCACTCTTGATCAAACTGGAACCAGACTGGTAATTTTAAAGGATTAAATTATGAAATGCAAAACGTTGCTTTCTTATTATTCTCATGATGAAGCAGTTTGTTTCCTTATTCCATTTCCGCCTCTGTTTCCAGATTCCATGTTTTTGCAGAAACATACTGTATTTCCTAGAATAAGCGCCCACTCCCTAATAAGTGCCTTCTTCCCCCACCCCCTAGTCCATAATATCAGGCAAGTGTCTCCCTCAAAAAAGCACCCCTCCCCTCTCCATCACTTTCTTTTTAATATAATTAAGGGGACGATCTGTATATCATTGATGAGGATGATGAGATAATTAATATTTTATAAACATACATACCAATACCTAAGTGCTAAGTGCATAATGGTCCTAACTATGAAAGGCTTGATTACCAACCACTGTTATACCAGACCGCAGAGTATGGCATGTGCACGCGTAAGTTTTTTTAAAAATAATTATATAAGCAATAAGGGCCTAAAAATGGCCTTTCACGCATGAGATCTCGTCGAGTTCTGCCATAATCTGCAGATGGGCTGTTATAATGAACAAAAGACACTTAACCCTGAATGAACATTTACGTACATCAAGTGCTATAATAGGATAATGTTTATACTGTTTGATTTTGTTTTTATATTTTGAAAAAATTTAGCTAAAATAAAATTACAGTTCGTTGAAAGGAAACTTTAATGAGCGCCCGCTTCCAATAATAAGTGCCCCACCTTTTAGCCGAAATTTAAATACGCGCAAGGGCGCTTATTCGAGGAAATACGGTGTTCTCGCACTTGCTAGACTTCTAGTCACGCAATCTAGCGTGAGTTACTGTTGAATTTAAGCAAACGATTAATGAAAACTTAAACATGCCTGAATTTCAGTGCCTTTCGACAAGACCACTGCACATAACAGAAACGGTTCACGATATACTCATGACTGGCACCAGAAAGTTTAAGAAACTGATCTTCACTTGTTCTATTTCTCTGAATACTAGTCACGCAATTCAGAGTCAAGCTCATAGCCGTTAACGACACATCAAACCTAAAGACAAATCAAGTCTAAAACATGCCTTAATTTTAGTTTCTTTTGTGGATGATCTTTTTGTTTTATATATTTAATAAAAAACAATCCAAGCAATTGCATTTCGTGCAAGGGATCATGCTTAGCTGCTTACCTTTCTCGGGTTACGCGCGGAGGCCATCCTCTCGCTTCGTTATACCACTCATTCACTGCTTACGGTTTTAAACCAAAAAAAAAATAGTTTAGCCGACTTCTTAAAAATGATTCCACTTATACAACTACACTAAGTCGTGCGGTTTTTTCGTCAACATTTAATACCATAAAGTATTCACTGACTACTGAGCCGGCTTCAAATTGCACCATCCGGAGACAGTCCCATCCGGTCGGTCGCAAAGTTGGTCACGTGACCATGTTGTAAACGGCCGCCGAAAATTAGGAGTATGGGAAATCAACTCTTGTCACTCAGTTCAATATGACACGCCATGGCGCTCGTAGGGCAGGAAACAGTAAGAAAACAACACAGAGATGTCCCTTTATGAGCTTTGTACACTTATGTGCATTTTAACCGTTTGTTAGCCTGGGCTCCCTGTACAGATTCCAAAGGGCAACAGGCAATTTCAGAGTTGCCTTAACTTATTTTAAGTAGAGGCTAAGTGCGAAACCATTGATATAAAAATCATTTTTTATCCCACGTAAATAAAACTCATGATCATTTTCTCAAGATAGATTTTTGCTCGAAACTTGGTTTTGAAAAGTGAGAACTTTTGAATTCGGAAATGGGCTATTACTATGTCTATGGCGCATTTGCTACAAATGAATCCACCCAAAACAACAACAACAACAAAACCAAAACAGAGACGACAACCCCGACAAAAAAAAACAAAGACAAAAACAAAATAAAAAATGAAATAAGCGAAAAATAACTACAACGAAAATATGTTAGGGGCACCCAACGATGGTTTCCTCCTACAGTGGAACCCCTCCTTTGGGACACCTCTATTCGAGGAACACCTCCGTTCAGGGGACACAAAATTTGGTCCCAGAAAAACGCCCACATAATATTTGCATCTATTACCTCTATTGAAGGGACACCTCTTTTCAGGAGAAAGGGACACTTTTTCTAGGTCCCAAGACCCAGGTTAAACTTCCATTTATTGGATATCATGGCACTCAAAAAGTGACCGACCATAATGAGGGTTGATACCTTATATGAGGGTCTCAATGGGGTGGTGGCTTTTACGGTTATCGGCTAAAATTTTGGCTCTTTTACGGCTATCGGTTAATTTTTTTCAGTTACGGTTAACGAAAAAGTTAAATATTAATTAACCTGTATTTTTTGAGTAAAGGTCTTCGGATCATCTCGGGATCATGAAATAAGCTCTTCTTTTGAAAATTTTAACATTTGATAGATCGTACTTTTTATAAAGTATTCCACTTTTAATATTATTTACACATAGAAATGTCAATAGTCAATTTAAAAATAATCTGCAAATCAATTTAAAAATAATCTGCAAAAGCAGACACGCGAACGCCCAACTCAAGGCCGGGGCGCGACATTCGTTATAACAGAAACTGAATGCAGTTTTCACACTAGAGAAGGATTATTCGTGTGAGACGGGTTATCCGTTTGATGATTCGCGTCAGATAGGTAATACGTGTTAATTTGAAAATGGAATAGTCAGTAATTTTGAATGAAAAGTCCGCCTGACTTTTGACGACGGGATTATCCTTTCCAGATAGCCTGTGTACAGCCGCCCCCTCCCCTCAGAAAAAATCGGAGAAGAGGTGTCTGTGGGGAGGACGCAACTGTACACAGGCTAGTCTCAGACGGATGATCCATTTCTAGCTCTAGTGTGAAACTGAACGGCCAATAACAAAATTCCCGTGTCCAGTGTTTTTAATAATAGCGAAGGACTGTACGGAAGGACTGCAGTCTGCTGTTGCCTTGTCCTTAGGCCGCATTATTCCGCGCGGCTAATGCATTTCGGGTCACTTGGTCCGAGCGAGTTCGCCACCGAAATGCCTTGACCGAGATTGCGTGGGAAGACGCCGTACAGGGACTAGGCTTGACAATGTCTACCGTAGCGTCAGAGAAAAACAGGGAAATGTTGTTTGTCGGCAACGTGTTTTACAAACAGTGACATCTGTGCTTGTTGTTTCACTAGTGTTTCAAGGGCACGACCTCCGGAAAATTGCAAATATTAATCCCCAGCAAGAAGCCACACTTTCGCTATGGAAAAAATTAGTTCCCCGAGAGAGCGCCGGAAATGGAGCCTAGGTCTTGGTTAACTCCTAAAAGGCGCTTCGCCTAACGTGCGTACGGAGTCACACTAGCCGGGAAATAAAAAACGCAACCATAAGTGAGTTTAGTACCTTCCTTAAAAGTAGCAAATCCAGGGAACACTTTCTTTTACGGTTAACTCTTTTTTACCCTATTTACGGCTAACGGTTAAAATTTTTCAATTTTTACGGCTATCGGCTAAATTTTTGGCCCTTTTACGCCTATCGGTTAACCCCATTGAGACCCTCTTATATGTCAACTCATCCTCGGAGACCCAGAGGCAGATAGTTGGGGTGAGGGAAAGTCTAAACGGGCGGAAAAATATGGCACAAAAGAAAAGTAAAGAACGGCCAGAAGAGCCCCTGGGGACAATGTCTTACCAGACCAGTTCTAAACGGTCGCCGCCGTTCTGGCTTCTGATTGGTGCCAGAAAACTTGTGTTTGGAACTGGTCTGGTAAGACATTGTCCCCAGGGGCTCTTCTGGCCGTTCTTTACTTTTCTTTTGTGCCATATTTTTCCGCCCGTTTAGACTTTCCCTCGCCCCCACCATCTGCCCCTGGGTCTCCGAGGATGATGTCAACTAAACTTTCCATCATATTGCGGAGTGAAAGGTTAGGGCTGAAAAGGTCCGTACTTTTATTAAGACAATTATACCGTGGAAGATCTCGTAAGCGGACACCCTCGGGAAACGAAAAAATGTCCGTAATTGGAGTTGTCCGCAGATTACGAGAGTGTCCGTCAGGAAAGCTTCCACTGAATTTGCAAAATCTAAGCATAAATACATTTCAATTGTTAATTTACATTAACCACAGCCACCCACATAATCTTTCGTTGACAATAATTTATTGATCTTTTCTCTTCCTAATTAACTTGAAGACGAGCAAATAAGTTTGGATTGAGTGACAAAACACTGACAAATTTACAGTGGATGCCACACCCCCATGGTTTTTCTGTGTTTTTTCCTAGAGGATAAAACATCAGCACCTGACGTTTTCAGTAGCTGTTCGTTCATCCCTTGCGCACATTTTGAGACAAGTTTAGTGATGGTCAGTTGCTATGGTTACGAGATATGACGTCATAAATACCAGGCGGTCAAGCGATTTTTGGGAGAAAATAATGTTTTTTCAACTTCTTTCAACAATAAAAGTAAATCTTGTGGCTAAAAACATGCAAAGTGCTTAATTATGTATTATTTTTCACGTAAAACAAAAAAAAATTACCATTTCTCGCGGTTTTAACCTGATTTCTAATTCTTCATGGTGAAATCCAAGACTGCGACCATTCCTGGTGACGTCACAGGCCTCCAGCAGCGCCACCACCCGTAAAATATACCTCATCTTCAGACTTTCCACTCAAGAGAAAATCTTTTCGAAATACTGTAACATATCAAAAACTCCGGGGAGGGGTTCCATCCACCCCCTCCCCATTGAAACAAGCTTTTTAGCAGTGAAAACTGTACTAACCTGACATCCACGAAGGTTTTTTTCCACAAAAAAATATGAGAAGAGCAGTTCGGGTTTATGGTAGACTGAAAAAATTGCCGACATTTCGCGACGCCACCACTTGGTTCCCAGCCAAATGACGTCTGAGGGACAAGCTCAGAATGAGAGAGAACCTGGGAACGAGGTTGAAATACGATTCTGATGATCTGTGTAGTGCTTCTGATTAGTTGTGCCGCGAGGGAAATTTTCTTTAACCTATCAGAAGCACTATTCAGGTCTGGGTAGTGACAAATCATCAGCTAGAATGGAATTTCTGCGCTCGTTCCTCCGCAATTCTACCATACCACAGATAAATACACTAAAATCACTTCAAAAAAAACGAGCCACGCTCACCACAAATTAATTTTAACCTCGTTGCGTTTCCACGCCCGATACAAATTTCTGTTTCCTCAGAGATCCTCTATAGGAGAGAGACTCGCTCGGACCACGTGACCCGAGACGCATTATGAGCCCTAGGGACAAGGCAAACTGGAATCTTCGCGTAAAAACGGCTGCGTTGCATGGAGACTATTCTTAAAGTTGTAGAATTCTGATTCATGTCTGTATTGGCCGATCTGTGTTTCTGCATGCGTAATGAGCAGTTAATTTACACGCGATGTAGTTATGAAATTTTTGACAGTTTTCTTAAATTGATATACATGCGTTCACGGCCATTTATCCCTTCAAAGATCTTTCAATCTTGCGAATACAGAGATATTAGCGGGAAATATTTACTGCTCATTATGAATGCCGCAATGGAGATTTGAGTTCTATTCCACTAAAGTAGCGGTTTCTGGAGACTACTACTTTAGTATTTTTTAAATAATCAATTGGGAAACGCCTGATATGACTACTGATATAAGGAGCGCAAACAGCTATATGTATTTTGACGTGACAAAATACGCATAAAGGACGGAAACCGGTGATGAATTTTTCCGCACGGCGAGCGTTTCAATCTTTGTGTATGGGGATATTTGTCATAGCCCTTTTACATGTAATAGTTTATCCGTGGAAGCCACCTCAAAAAGCAGGGCAATTTAACTTTGCAAGAAAAATTAATGAGGTATTGAATGGAGGCAATTTTGTACAACAAGACGACAGCTCCAGACAAAGTAGGAACATGAAATTTTACATAGCATTTCGATATTGGGAACAACTTTCAATGGCGACTAACAATCTGATCGCCCTCACGGCTTTAGCAAGCTACAGTGGGCACCAAGTTGTTGTACCTTTTGTAAATGATTCAAAGTTTTTTGGTTATAAAATGAGCAGTGATGACACTCAAACACTGGCATTGTACTACAATCTCAGCGCATTTAACAACACGCTTCGTCCACACGGATACAGCACTTTAGTGAGCTGGGAAACATTTCAGAGTGTTTGCCGAGACAAGTTGGACTTACTGATACAATTTAGTTACGGTGAAGAAGCTTCACGCCGACAACAATCGAAGGA